AGTTTTACACAAGCACGTGTTCAAAGTGGTCGTTGTTTATCTTGATGACGTGTTAATATATTCACAAGACCCATGTAAAGTTGGTGAGAGAAGTCCTTAAAGCACTGTACGAAAATCATCTCTATGCTAAGCTATCTAACTGTGAATTTCATAAGGAGAAGATGGACTTCCTGGGGTACCACATTACAAACGAGGGACTGGGGATGGATCCCAAGGAAATACAGGATGTGGTGGAGTGGGAACCCCCACACACGAGGCGACAATTGCAATCCTTCCTTGGGTTTGCGAATTTCTACCGTCCTTTCATCCCAAACGTTGCCCAGGTCACTCTTCTGATTTGATGAAAACTAAAGGGAAGGCCCTTGAGAGTAAAAAGGGCGACTGTAAGTTGGAGTGGTCCCCAGAGTGCCAGCAAGCCTCTGAAAGACTGAAGGCCTTGTTTACCTCCGAGCCCATTCTCCACCACCCGGATGGGACTAAGCCGTTTATTGTCCAGGTGGACACCTTGGACATGGCTATTGGGGGGGGGGCTATTTTGCAACAGGGCCCAGATAGTAAATTACACCCCCTTGCCTACATCTAAAAAAAAATAATAATCCAGCACAGAGAGGAACTGGTCTGTTTGAGACAAGGAGGCAGCTGCCATTAAGTTGGTCTTGACTACTTGGAGACATTGGTTAGAAGGGGCCCAGGTTCCTTTTGAAGTGTGGACTGATCATAAAAGCATTGAAAAGTCCCTAGCACCTGAATGTGAAACAGATGCGCTGGGTGGGATTTTTCTCTAAGTTTTCATTTCACTCTCAAGCATCTCCCCAGGAAGTCAAATTTCCTGGCTGATGCACTGTCCCGCCTGTTGCAGCACGCCAGTCAACATGATGAGATCATAGACACTATGTTCACACCCACCCCGTTGGGGGGGGAGTTGTAACTCAAGCTCAAGTGAAGGTGGGGGGGGGAGCAGAAGGCGAATGGTGGACTGAAAAACTGAAAGCTGCTTATTCCCTGCACGATTTAGACACCATAAATAAAGAAAGACACCTGATCCAACGAGAGGATGGGTGCTGGTATAAAGGGGATAAACTGTTTGTGCCAGAGGTGCTGAGAGGGGAAGTTCTTTTGATGGGCATGACAGCAAACTGTTGGGACATTTCGGATACTTAAAAACCCTGCATTTGATTCAAAGACAGTTCTGGTAGCCTCATACGCGAGGGGATATTTCAAAATACGTGGGGACGTGCCAGACCTGCCTCATGAGTAAATGCAGGGGAGGGAAGGTGCCGGGCTTGCTCCAGCCCCTAGAAACTATGCACTTTATTACAGACATACCCCCCAGTCAGGAGAAAACCACGATCTGGGTGGTTGTGAACTTGTTTCAAAGCAGGTGCACTTCATCCCTGCAAACAGGTGCCCACAGCCCAACAGTTAGCTCAGATGTTTACGCAACACATTGTGAGATTGCATGCAGTACCCCGCAAGATAATTTCTGATAGGGGCTCACAATTCGTTGCCAAGTTTTAGAAAGAACTTTTAAAGGTTTTGGGAATGGAGCAGGGACTAAGTAGTGGCTACCACCCTGAAATCAATGGCCAAACCAAGTGCACCAATCAGGTCTTAGAACAGTTCCTCAGGTGTTTCATAAACTATCAACAAGATGATTGGGTGCAGCTCTTGCCTTTTGCAGAATACAGTTACAATGATTCTGTGCATAGCTCTACAGGGATGTCCCCTTTTAAGGCAGTCCATGGGTACGAAGGGGAGCCTCTCCCTACACTGAATCTAGATGAACCTGTGATTGGTGATGCTCAAGTGTGGTGGTCTACTGTGACATGGGGTTGGGAAACCCTTCAAAAGACTTTAACCAAAGCTAAGGAGGACTATAAATGCTAAGCCAACAAGAACCGAGGCCCTGAGTGGGAACTGGCCTGGGGGACCATGTTTACATTTCTACCAAGCACCTTCGAGGGGTGCAACCAGGGAAAAAACTGGGGTGGAAATATACTGGTCCTTTTAAAATGACTTGGTTGATAAACAGGGTGACCGTAGAGGTGGGATTGCCAAAAAAACTTGTGTCACGTGCATTCTGTGTTTCATTTTAGCTTGCTGAAGAAAGATCCTGGACCCCTGCCCTGGACTCTTCGTCGTCCTGCTCCTCCTCCTCTAATGGTCAACGGAGAAACCCACCAGGAGGTGAAGGCTGTCCTGGACTCTAAATTGAAATGGGGTCATTTGTTTTACCTAATTAAATGGAGGGACTTTGGGCCTGAACACAATGAGTGGGGTTCAGTGATCACATAAAGGCCCCTGGCCTGGTCCGCGTATTCCATAAGCGCAACCTTCTCAAACCGGGTAGATGAGGAGGCTTGGGGGGGGGGGGCAGAATGTCAAGCTTCGGTTCACCTTGTCCCACTTCACTGCTTGCCATAATTTAGGGGGGAGGGAATCCCTGAGGGGAGTGCATGGGTGTTTTGAGTGCATGCTTGTAGAAGCCATAACTTTCCTTAAGATTGTGCCCCACCGCTGGTTCCCAAGGGAGCTGGCCTCGGAGACTCTTTTGCCAGGCCTGGATGTAGATAAGGTTGACATAGCTACAATAGGGGCTGAATGGTGACGTATGCGAGAGGTGTGGGGTGCATTTTGTATTATCTATAATAGGGGCTTTTGCGTGCCTTTTTCTCAGTTCTGACACAGGACCTGTTTTCCCAAAGTAAACATATCTCAATAAACTACCACTGCTTAAGAGCGTTGTCGAGAGTGTCTTAACTGTGGGGACCTGATACTATCTTAATTTGGCTGGGAAATTGTCCATCAGCTGATCTGGCCACCCTGAGCCATGCCACAGTAACCTTGAGGCTACACTACTGTAATGTGCTCTAGCTGGGGCATTGAAGACTATACGTCTCCTTTTTCAGCAAAGCAGCCATTACACAGAAGAGTCCAAGATCCTGGCTGCAGCAATTCTATGCACAGCACACACCAAAAGTTTCCTAGGGGGTGTTCTATGCCAAAGAAATGCTCGAGAATCAGAAGCTATGGAGCAAAGCACTGCAGTGGCTGTGCTGGTCACGGTTTTCCTCTTCCAGGGCCACCAGTCTCCAGGCCTCTCTGCTGAATGGAAAACAACCATCTGGAGGGACCATCTGTAGGCAGCCCGAACTGCTCCCCAATCAGTCACTGTTTGCACTGGAGTGCGTACATGACAAAAACCTCTCTCTCTCTCTCTCTCTCTCTCTCTCTCTCTCAGTCAATTGCTGATATCAAGATTGGGATGGACCGCAGAATGCCAGGGTGGACCGCAGAGGGAGGGGGAGGAGCTTGTGCAGACATTTCTCCAGGGCCTCCAGTGAGGAGGTCATGTTAGAAGAAGCTCTGCTGTGTGCATTTTGGGCACTATTTCTATGCACTCACTCACCTACAGGGATAGATACTGCACACCAGTGCTGACTCATGCCCACCACGTGTCAAAAGCCGTGGCCCAGTGGGCTTTGGATACATGCATAAGAACAATGCATGTGCATGTGTCTTATGTACATAAAATTTAAATATACCCCAAATTTAAATATGCAAGCATAAATATTACATTGCATACATAATTTTTAAGCCAAATGACAGCTTTGACAAGATGCCAAGAAAACAATATCAGATCCCGGCGGTTTCACCAGCTGCTTTGATGAGAGGATTATGTTGCCCTGGAAACCAGGGGCTCAGCCACTGAAATGAATCCGAGGAGCCTGCCTCCCCGCCCAGTCCACCTTCTCTCCCCCTCTGGCAGCAGCAGCAGCAGCGGCAGCAGGGGCAGGAGGACGGGAGGGACGCTGCCAAAGCCCGGGGTGGGGCACAACTTTCTAATATAGTATCAAGAGCAATAACACCACCTCCCTGTTATCTGTGGAGGCAGCCATAGAGAGCTCCCACATAGTAGATCTACTGTACACACCAAATACACAACGCCGTTCTCAGGACATTCCCAAATGGCACACAGCCAAACACATCATATATAACCCCTGGGAAACATCAGGGCCCATTGCCTGGATACAGAGAGGGGGCCGGGGGAGGCAAGAGAAAGGAGGGAGGGGGAGAAATCTGCCAACTTCCTCTCTGATAGTTTGTTTTTTCTTTATGGTGTTTTCTCTTTATGGGTGGGGGGGGGGGCTCATGAGGCTAATTATGGAAACGAGTATGATCAACCCAATGAGCGGCATCCGACCAATTCTCTTTGCAGCCAAACTCTCTGTGTGTGTGTGTGTGTGTGTGTGTGTGTGTGTGTGTGTGTGTGTGTGTGTGTGTGCGTCACAGGAACATCTGACATAGACTCTGGGCAACAATTCCATCCTCTCCCAAACAGGCAAAGTGGCCGTGCCCCAGCAGGGAAGCCACGAGTGCCAGAGAAACCCAGCCAGGCCTGGAAGAAAGAGCAGCGAGAGGCCGTGCTGACAAGCGGGCTAGGAAATGAGGGGCAGGACACCCGTCTCCGTGGGACTCGAGGGTGGGGGGCCGGCAGCAGGAGCAGAGGTGGACTGCTGAGGCCAGCCCTGAACGGGCCTCTTCCAAAGCTTCTTGCCCAGGAATCTGAACGGGCAGCCAACCCAGAGAAGACAGCCGCGGCCACCACCACCACCGCCGCGGCCAGGAGAGGGGATAGGGCCCGGGGGCTCCTCCGCCCCACATCCCACTGCCTCTTCCCCCCACCCCCGCTGGTCTGAACAGCCTTGGGGTGGGGTGGGGGCCGGCCACCTTTTCGCCAGGGAATCCCATCCTCTGGGGGACCTGCCAAGCCTTCTGAGGCCTTTTTGCCCGAGCTATTAGCGCGCTGGATGCCAGGCAAGGCCATGCCCAAACTGGCTTCTGGGGGAGTTTTGTTTTAGAGGGATGGAGACCATGTTTTCCTTCTTCAGTAAACTCACCTGGAACCGTCAAGAGGAGGGCAGCTGAGGCAGCAAAATAAGCCGTGGGAGGGGGGGAGACCACGCCCCATGGCCCCAATTCCACGGTGGCCTACTCACCGGCTGACCAGAGCCAGGGCTGGAGCAGAAGATGGTGTACTTTCGGATGACCCCATTGGGTTTGGTGGGTGGGAGCCAAGACACCACCACGCTGCTGGCAGAGGAAGGGACCGCTTTGATTCCAGCAGGGGGGCCAGGAACTAGAGGAGAGAGAAAACAGCGCAGGAGGTTACCCTGGAGAGAAGATGCTTCCCATTCCCCGGGGGGGGGGGCTATGTGTAGATTCCCCAGGGCCATTCTGCAAACTCACTGGGACTACAGGCCAAACAAAGCATGCCAGAGTAGACCTCCTTCCACAAAAGCATTCCTTTCACAACGTGGCATTATGGGTACACCTTCCCGTGGGAGGGGGGTGGGCTTGCGGTCAGAGGGCAGCCCCCACCTGCCTCCCTCATTTGGATTTTCAAAAGCGGCACAGGCATATTTGCAATATTAGCTCCAAAGGACTAGCCCCGGCTCTCTCTTGAGCATATGTGCAAACACATGAGTGCTTGAGCAGCGTACACGCCCTGCAGCCGAAGATCCCTTGCCCTTGGTGTCTGGTGTTGCCACGAGGCGGCTCTAGAAGAGCGCAGGGGCTTGGAGGCCCTCGGGAGAGCCAGCCCAGCCCAAATATGCACGTCTCAGCCAAGGCTCCCGGGGCTGCCTGCCGCTCACGGGCGATGGGGGCGTGGAGGGGGCAGGCCTGGCCGGGAGCCAAAGGGTCGGGGGGGGCCCTAGCCCCGAGATCCCACACACACACTGTGGCTACGGGCCTGGCCAGCCACCTGCCCTGCGACACCTCCGAGAAGCACAGCCCCCAGGAGTCCTCAGGGAAGAGGCCACAACCAGCTGGTTCTCGGGGAGACTGAACTTTCCCTCGTCCACCAGCACACAGGATAGTTTTTAGAGAAGAAACTATTTAGGAGACGGCCATCTTGTTTTTAGGAGAGGAGCACCAAAATTTGTTTATGACTATGATGTGTTTTAATATTTTTAATGTTTTTATTGTTCTATTGTATGATTGGCGATATGCCGTGTAAGCCGCCCTGAGCCTCCGGGGAGGGCGGGATAAAAATGTAAATAATAAATAAATAATAAATAAATAAACAAAATGGGACTAAATGTGGCAAACCTTTACATCCAACAGTCCGAACTGTGCCAGGCAGCAACCGCTGGCCTATGCTTGCTTGGCACAGCCAGTGCCATCTCAGCCACTTTGGCCTCCTGGGTATTCACACCCTCCAGACCCCTTCTCTGGCACACCCTCTGCCCGTTGACCAGGCACACCCACACGTTCTGCAGACGGCACCAGAACAGGCCGGGCTGGGCCGGGCCTATGAAGAACAAGAGCCATTCGCTCTCCTGAGGTAGGCTATGATTTCCCACCACTGGACGTCCTTCCCAGCCCCTTCCTAGACAGGCCCTTCCCCAAACACTTTGTGAAGCTTTAGGGACTAGAAACCTGACTGACTCCAATCTTCTGGCACCTCACCTGTTCTCCAAGAATTCTCAAAAATACTAGACAGAGGCTCGGAAATTACATCCGCAAGTTCTTTTATTATCCTTTGATGCAGTTCATCTGGCCCCAAGGACTTAGTCGCCCTGAGCCCGTCTTGTGGGGAGGGTGGGGTAAAAATCCCAATAAATAAATAAAATAAATAAATTAGTTTCATTTAAAGAAACTAGGTGTTTCTGTACTACCCCTATGCTGATCCTAGGCTACAACCCCTCCCCTCATCTTGTGTTCTGTTTTTGCCATGTGGAGCCCCGTTCCCCTCACAACAGAGAAATAAGAATCAAACATAAGAACATAAGAACATAGTAGAAACTTTCTCAAAAAAAAGAGATGTTAGTCTGACATCACGTGTTCTTGAGAAACCCATGATGGCTCTTAGTAATTACAGCCATCCTTTCTAAATGCTCAAAGACAGACTGATTTGTTCTAAAACTTTTATAGGTATAGATGTCAAGCTGATGGCTCAGTAGTCAGTAGGACAACCTGGATCCTCCTTTTCCCCCTTCTTGAAGATGTGGACAACATTTGCCTACCTCCAATCTTCTGGCATCTCACCTGTTCTCCAAGAATTCTCAAAAATAATAGACAGAGGCTCGGAAATTACATCTGCAAGTTCTTTTATTATCCTTTGATGCAGTTCATTTGGCCCTGAGGACTTAGTTTCATTTAAAGAAACTAGGTGTTTCTGTACTACCACTACGCCAGTCCTAGGCTGCAAGTCCATTCCCTCATCATGTGTTCTGTTTTTGCCATGTTGAATACCATTTTCCTCGCAAAAGAAGACTGAGGAAAAGTAGAAATTGAGCAGTTCTGCCTTCTCTTCATCACCTGTTACAATTTCACTTTCCTGTCCCTGCAATGGGCCTACCATGTCCTTGCTCTTTTTCTTAGTTTGAACATAAGAAAAGAACCCTTTTTGTTGTTTTTAGCATCACTCATCAGGAAAAGCTCATACTGACCTTTAACTTTTCTAACTTTCTCTCTACAAGCACTGGTTATTTGTTTATATTCATCCTTGCTTATCAGGCCCTCCTTCTACTTTCTAAATGCGTCTTTTTATTTCTCAGGTCTTTAGAAAGCTGTTTATGGAGCCACCTTGTCTTCTTTAGGCTCCTCCCATTTTTCCTTCTCATAGGAACTGTTTGTGGTTGTGCCTTCAGTATTTCGCTTTTAAGAAACTCCCACCCCTCTTGAACTCCCTTCTCCTTAAGTATTTCTGACAATGGGATTCTACGTAGCATAAATTTAAGTTTGTCAAAATCTGCTTTCCTGAAGTCCAATCTATGTGTCTGATTACATACAGCTTTTACCTTCCCCAAGACCATAAATTCCAAAATTACATGGTCACTACAACCCAGAGTGCTCACTGATTTCACCTCTACAACCAGTTCTTCCCTGTTGGTAAAAATCAAGTCCAACACAGCAGATCCCCTTGTTTCCCTCTCCACTTTCTGGAAAGCAAAGTTGCCAATGAGACAAGTCAGAAATGCTTTCTTTTTTAACCTTTCATTTTTAACCGAGTTGGACTTCCAACAGATATCTGGGTAACTGAAATCTCCCATGACCACTGTGTCCCGTGTCTTTGAGAACTTTGTAATCTGTCCTAGGAGTGTCTCATCCAAATCCTCTGCCTGGCTTGGTGTTCTATAGCAGACCCCCACCATAATATCACTAATTTCTTTCTCCTCTCAACTGAACTTCCATTCTATTTCCTCACACGTATAAACTTCTTTATATATAATGTGACTCCTCCGCCCTTCCTTACTTGTCTGTCCCTTTTAAATAAGTTGTACCCCTGAAACCTAATATTCCAGTTGTGTCATCCCACCAAATTTCAGTAATGCCTATTAGGTCATAGTTCCCTTCCTGTATTAGGACTTCACGTTCCTCCTGCTTGTTTCCCATACTCTGCACATAAGTGTAGAGACATCGGAATCCATGTTTTATGCACCCTGAGGTTTTTGTTTCTGTACTTACCTATGAGTTAATGTTACCTAGCATACATGCCACTCCCCACAAGTATTAGGAGCTCTTATCTCCAGTTATTGGCATCGTATTGGGCTTTACATTTTTGTCTCACTCCCCCATAGGATTTAGTTTAAAGCTCTCATTAGGTTTGCAAGGCTGTTTCCAAACACATTTCCCCCACCCTTGTGAGGTGCAAACCATCTCCAGATAGAAGAGCTTCATCTCGAAAACGTAGGCCATGGTCCAAAAATCCAAACGTTTCCTGATCTACATAGCCAGTCACTGATTTGCAATATTCTTCTTTCCCTTCCTAAGCTACGGCCTAAGCTACGGAAAATACAACCTGCGCTCCCAACTCCTTCACCTTCTTATCCAGAGTCACATAGTCTCTTTTAATACATTCTGGGTTGTGCCGGGCAGTACCATTTGTTCCCACATGGATGAGCAAAAAGGGATAATAATCCGTGGGCTTGATTAATCTTCCTGCCCTTTCTGTCACATCCTGGATGCGTGCACCCAGTAGACAGCATACCTCTCAAGATGACAAGTCCAATTGGCCCACTTTGGCTTCTACCCCTCTCAGTAGGGAATCCCCAATTACCAAGACATGCCTTCTCCTATATTGGGGAGGAGACGCTTGAGTTCTCTCATCCACGGGGGTTTGAGGAATTTTCTTCAAGCTTCCTGGAGGCTGGGGGAGGAGCCCTTGTTCCAGTGGTTCAGAGTCACTATCTGTGGGGAGAACCAGGAACTGATTGCTTAGTAACAGGGGCTCAGAATGTCTCTTGATTTTCCTGCTCCTGGGGTTACACTCTTCCATGTGCCCTCCTCCTGTGCCGGGTGCTCCTCCATTTGCTGAGATACCTTTCCCTCCTCCTCCTGTTGCCCTCTCAGGAGTGCTTCAGGCATTCTGTCCATGAAATCTTCACATTCCCTTATAAGCTGGAGTGTGGACAAGCACACCTCAAGTCCCTGTATCTTTTCCTCCAGTAGGGCTACCAACTTACACTTACTGCAAGTGTAATTGTTGTTACCCTCAGGTAAGAATACAAACATGCCACAGACTTTGTATGTTACTGCCTCAGCTCCCTCACCAGCCGTGCTGCTGCAATCCATTTCAAAATTAGTTCAGTTTAATTTATTTATTTATTCCATTTGTATCCCACCCTCCCCGCGAACAGGCTCAGGGTGGCTTACATAGTCGGTCCAAGGTACCATAAAATCAACATAAAAATACTTAAAACATTTTAAAACAATCAGGTAATCATAAAGTGCTAGTAATAGTAATCATTCCATCATTAATTGAGATGGCATGCTATATGATGTAACAGCAGACAATTTCCGACTCAGTGATCTTCTGGAGTCGCACAATGGTATGGCTCGATCTCAAAGCTGGGGCCGGCCCATAACCACAGATGTTGGTGGTAGTGGTGAGGGTGGCTCCTAATTGAAGGTCTGGTGGAAGAGCTCCATCTTGCAGGCCCTGCGGAACTGTAGAAGATCCCTCAGGGCCCTGATCTCTTCCGGGAGCTCATTCCACCAGTATGGAGCCACCACTGAAAAGGCCCTGGCGGCAGCAAGCCTGGCATCCTTGAGGCCTGGGAGGGTCAATCGGTGTTGTGACTCCCGATAACTGGCACTTCCTTGATAACTTCTCTACCAAACTGCCTCTCA